CTATCTATCTATCTATCTATCTATCTATCTATCTATCTATCTATCTAACATTGCCACCTATTCGCCCATGGCGACTCAAGGCGGCTTACACAATGTAAAACCATATTTAAAACAAAAAATAAAAATAAAAAACAACAAAAACTAACAAAAAGAATCAAATAAATTAATAAAGTACAATAGAACAAAATCTGGAAAAAAATAAAATAAAATAAAAAAATCCCCCCAATTCCCACCCTCCCATCCCGATGACAGCAGATCACACTAGCCATTTGATGGGCTTGATCCCACTCTGGGTTTTTCAGGCCCACTGGCAAAACCAGGTCTTCAGTGCCTTTCGAAAGAGTGCTAGATTGGGGGCCATTCTAATCTCTTGGGGAATGATATTCCAGAGAGAGGGAGCCACCACCAGGTGTATCTACCTCAGGGGTGGGACCCGCAACATTCCCTGCCTCCCCGCTCTAACGGGTTGGGTAGATGTGGCCGGTAAGAGACGTTCCCTCGATAACCCAGTCACAAACCATGAAGGGCTTTAAAGGTGACAACCAGCACCTTGAATTGCACTCGGAAGCAAAATGGCAACCAATGCAGTTCCTGCAAGAGAAGTGACACATGTGCATACTGAGGTCTGCACAAAATCATGTGGGCCGCTGCATTTTGCATCAACTGCAGCTTCTGGATGCTCTTCAAGGGCAGCCCCATGTAGAGCACGTTGCAATAATCAAGATGGGAAGTGACCAGGGCATGAGTGACTGTGAGTAGGGACCGTTGGTCCAGGAAAGGGTGAAACTGGTGCACAACCCGCAGTTGAGCAAAGGCCCTCCTGGCCATGACAGCCACCTGCTCTTTGAGCAGGAGTCAGGATTCCAGGAAAACCCCTAGATTACACACAGGGTCTGTTTGGGGTAGTGCCACCCCATTCTTCCTGAACCAACGAACCCTAGACCCAGAGCCACTCGGTCTTGCAAGGGTTTAGTTTCAACCCGTTGCTCCCCATCCAGCCCCTAACAGCCTCCAGGCACTGCGAGAGGGAGGACCCAGCAACACTTAACTCACCACGAGCCTAGACATACAGCTAAGTATCATCACCGTATTAGTGATACTGATGGATACTGATTAGTGGACTGATTAGTGATCAGTCCATGGTGACGGATGATCTCACCCAGCGGCTTCATATAAATGTTGAACGGGAGCGGAGAGAGTATCGAGCCCTGTGGAACCCCATAAAGCAGTGGGCGAGGGCTAGATCTCTCCCCTCCTATCAACACTTAGAGCAGCCGCAGAGGAAGTGAACCAAGATAGCACAAGGCCTCCCACTCTCATCCCTGAAGCCGCCCCAGGAGGATCCCATGGTCAATGGTATCAAAAGCCACCGAGAGGTCAAGTAGAGCAAGGATGGATGCACTATCCCCCTCCCCCTCCCACCAGAGATCATCCAAAAGTGCAACCAATGTCGTTTCTGTTCCAAATCCAGGCCTGAATCCTGGTAGGGGTCAAGATAATCTGTTTCATCCAAAAACCTCTGGAGCTGCTGCGCGAGCACCTTTTCAACAACCTTCCCCCAAAAGGGAAGATTGGAGACAGGTTGGAAATTATCCAACCAGGTGGAGTCCAGCAATGGCTTCTTAAAAAGAGGGTGGACCACAACCTCTTTAAAGTGCTGGGCACCATCCCCTCCTGTAGAGAAGCATTAATCACCACCAGAGTCCACCCACCTGTCACCTCCTGGGAAGCTTTCACAAGCCAGGAGGGACATGGGTCTAAAACAAAGGTGCTTGTGCGCATACTTCCTAGGATCCTGTTCACTTCCTCAAGAGCAACAGGGTCAAACCATTCCCAGATAACAGGGAAAGAACCTGCCTCAGGAGCTTTCAGCTTCCAGACCAGTAACCATGCCGGCATCTAACTGGAAACAAAATTGAGAAAATCTGCAAATTGCTCAGTGCGCCCCTTCATGTAGACCTCAATCTCCCTCTTCCCTAGGAGGAGATGGCTCACCTTAAAGAGGGTCGCAGGGCGATTATCTGCAGACGCAATTAGTGTGGAAAAGTATTTACACTTCGCCGCACGAATCGCCACAAGTTGGCCTTAGTAGTAGCTCTTACCTGTGTTCGATCGAGTTCATCTCCTGTCTTCTGACAGCGACGCCCTAGACGTCTCATGTGTTTTATCCTCTCAGTTCCTCTGTATACCACGGGGCACAGAGAGGTCTACAGGTGAGAAGAAGTCGCAAGGGTGCAATCCTATCCAGAGCCTCAGTCACCTTTCCAAACAGTAACTAAGAGCTCAGCTGGACTGCATGATAGATCTGCAGTTATAACCCCCAGCTCCTTCTGGAACCCATCTGGGTTCATTAATCGACTGGGGCGGACCAATCTAATAGGTCCTCCTGTCTCCCTGTGTGTGTGTGTGTGTGTGTGTGTGTGTGTGTGTGTGTGTGCGTGCAGCTTTTGAGAGACTCATTGACAACAGACTGTGATCTGACCATGACAAGGGGACCAAGGACAGGTCTACCAATTCCAGGTCACATATACACTGCTCCAACAAGAACACCAAATCAGGAGTGTGACCACTATTACTAGTCAGGCTCTGGATAATCTGAGGCAGGCCCATAAAAATCATGGTTTCCATGAAATCTCAGGCTACCTCTGCTCCCACAGAAGGCAGGTTGAAATCCCTCAGAACTATAAGCCCGGGGAATTCTACCACCAGCCCTGTGGCGAGGTCCAGGAGCCCAGGTAGGGAAGCTGCCATGCAGCAGAGAGGCTGGTACAGTGGCAGCAATCCCACCTGATCCCTTGACCCCAATATAAGAAAAAGGGTCTCACATCCAGGCAATTGTTGAACAGTGCCTCTGGAGGCTACTAGAGATTCTCTGATAACAACAGGCACACCTCCTCCCTGGCCCTGAGGTCTAGACCGGTGCCATGCTTGATAACCCACTGGACACATTTCTACAAGGGGAACATCTCCCTCTAGGCCCAGCCAGGTCTCAGTTAGATCCAGATCAGCCTTCTCTTCGAGGATCAAATCGGCAATAAGGCTAGCCTTATTGCAGGCTGATCTCACATTTAAAAGCAGTAGTCTAAGACCAGAGCTACCACAGAACTGCTGATCAGGAAAATGAAGTGAGTACAGTGTGGCAGAACACGAGATCAGCACTAAACACTGAGCTCGCATTCCCCGTGCCTGCCCTCTCATCTCCCATATCCCCTGTAACCTGACACCACTGAAATAGGACTCCCTGCTCTGCCTTCCTTGAGAACCATTCCTTTCCCCATCCCCAACACTCTTCTTTAAAAAAAAGAAGGGGGAACCCCTACTCCCACTGATAGACTGTTGGGGGCAAGGTGAGCCTTACAGGCACTATAGCATTTGCTCTCAGTGCCCTCAAACTCACACCACCCCTTATTGCTGCAGAGGGGTCACATCCAGCCCCCCCCCTTATCTCCCAACACACTCAGAATACATCCACTCAATGCATAAACAGCACCCTGCCCAGTTGCTCTCACCCACCAAGCAGGGAGCCACTCCTCTCCCCCAGCTCTCACCTGGGGGAAAGGGACCAACATACTCTCATTCAACTTTTCCCCCAGCCCCAGGATCCCCCAAGCAATTCTCCCAGGCCCGACCACAGAACACCTACAAAACCGCAGAAGGAAGACTGCAAAAGGTAGCCAGAAAAAATAGCCAGAAAGGCCTGCTATGCTGCATTGGAAATCTCAACTTCTATTTGCTCCTTTTTCAATATTTCCAACATCTTCCTTTCTTAACAATCCCTTAGCAACACACACAATTGTTGCTATCCCTGGTTTTTTTCTATATCTGAATAAAAATTTCTGCCAGAATGAATTTTAGTCTCTTAATCCAATCAAATATGTTTTACCCTAATAAAGATAAACTAAAAAAAAATCTAAATTTTCAACTGGGACTCAGACCTCCTGAACCTAGCTGTTCCATGCATAGCAGTTTGTACACAATACAGCTTGTAACTTAACTGATTTATATAGCACCATCCTTATCAGAAATGTTTTAGAATTTGAGCTAACCATAAGAATTTCAATAAAAAATACTGCCATTTCATTTCTTGATATAAGATATTTAATAATTTGGTAATTCAGTAAATTTGAAATCTACATTTAATCAGAAGCAAAGGAAAATAAGCTATAATTATTTATTTGCACACAACATTAAACAGACCCTATGGTTTTCCAGATTTGTTACATATACTTGCTGGCAAGTGGAATTAAGTGGGAGTGCTTGAATAGCATATAATAGATTTACAATTCTAATTTAAATTATTTACAAAACTGGCCTATCATAACATCCAAACATAGCTGTTAATTTAAAAGCTAGAAAGTAGATGGTACCTTTCACACTGCTTGCAGAAATGAACAGTGACTTGCTTAGGAATCCCCTCAGTGATATCCACTTGAGTTCTTAAACAGTCTACACACATGTTGGCTGGGTTTGGTGGGATTGTAATGCCACACTGGCAACATAAACTACAACACATAAAATTATCATTAAAATAAAACACATCATTTCTAAATTAAATAAAAAATAAAAAATACATAACTTTGCTTTTTACGTAGTGCCAAGAGTGCTACACTACTATCAGTACTATGTAATTTTGATTCAGAGATTTAAATACCAGGATGGTTTGACTGAAGCCCCACATCAAATCATATTTCTGAATCAAGATAGAAAGTCCCAACTGAATCAGTGAATCAAATTTGAATCATAAGCAATCAGTACACTCTTATTGGAAAAAGCAATTTTATCATTTTGTTACGATTTTTAGTACAAATATAATACTGATGGAATACTGATGCATTTTACATTAATAGATCTGAGTAGGCATCATAAAAATCTATGTATAAATAATGCTATTCCAAGGATTGAATCTGTTGTAGTATAAATCTCATTTCCAGAATATTTTGTTCCACAAATGCTTATGCCACAGAATTAGTTTCTTTTGGTATTAATTTCCAAGTGGCTTATATTCAGGATCATTTGACAATATGATCCCAATTCAAGAAAGTAAGAGAAGATATTTAGCATGTAAAACCAAACCATTTATGTATATATGATAGATGTCATGGGACTGTACCGTCCTCCCCAAATCAAAGAATAAAATTAAGGACTTCAAGTCAACATTGACACCTTGTTACTTTGTTGATATGTCCACGTTCTTGGCACCAATATAGAGATAACTTGTCACTTCATTTTTTCCTTCAATTTTCCAATCTAGGATTCAGTGATTGCCATTGTCTACTATTCAATACTATCCAGACATTGCACTGCTTAAAAATCATTATAACACCCTGATTTAATATTGTCATATAAGCAAGTTTGTCACCTAACAATTTATGCATCAATATGCAATGGTAGTCTGATTATAGTGTTTTCAGATAGGCAATCCCCTGCATACATTTAATCCTAGGATTTCATATTTTCTGCAGGTTAGTTTGACTTTTAAAATCATGTTACTCACATGTTCCCCTGGTGAAGGGGAGTATACTCTTTCATATATTCCATTTCTTCTTCCACATGTGATTCTCAAAAGATACAAACACTGACCCCTATTGTAAGAAATTCAGACTTTGGTAAATGGAGAATGAAGGCTAAATCTGTTACATTCTAAAATTCTTAAGGTGGGAAGAAATTTCAACCAAGAGATGGAGATTCAGTAATTCCGTAAAATACCAAGTGTCAAAAGAAAAATGTAAAATCAATAATTACAGGGCTGGTTTTAGCCACACTATTATAAACTAAAGGACGGAACTGAATTATAGAATCAAACTACCACGATTCAGAAGCAGATATCGCTGCTGGGGAAGAGATGTTGGACACTAGTGTGCTTACAGAAATGCCCCATTTTTATTTTTGCTTTTTTAAAATGGCAACTTAGCATTCTGGTAAATCAGTATTTTTTGAAATTTTTCATACTCCACAACAGTCTTTATGTGAATAGCAGCATTTTTTTCAGAACCATAAATTTATCCATAAAATTTCAAATACGTATTCCATTGCAAAATATTAACAAGAAGCAATACAGATAGTCCTTGACTTACAACAGTTTAGTGACCATTCAAAATTACAACAGCACTGAAAAAAATGAGTTAAAGACTATTTTTCACACATGCAGCTGTTGCAGCTTCCCCACGGTCATGTGATCAAAATTCAAATTCAATGCTTGTTAACTGACTCATATTTAGAATGGTGTGGTGTCGTCCCTGGGTGATGTGATCCCCTTTTGCAACCTCCTGATAAGCAAAGTCAACCTAAGTGCCATTTTGGATTGTTATTCATTAGGGACTTTTCTTTGCTCTAGGCAGCCAAACAGTTCTTACCTATTTCTAGGCTCATTTATCATATTTTGGGGAAAGAAAACAGATGGGAGGTTTGAATTTTTGAACTACTGTATAAAGCAGTGCTTCTCAACCTGGCCATTTTAAGATGGGCGGACTTCAACTCCCAGAAATCCTCAGCTAGCATGCTGCGCTGAGGAATTCTGGGAGTTGAAGTCCAGTATCTTAACATGGCCATGAGGGATATTGCTATAAGGCATAAAAATGATCCTCCCCTAGAGACAGTCTTGGTACACCCATCCTCCCTACGTCCTCCTGAGCACAATTCTGGGTGCGACTCCGACGCTACCTTGGGCTGGCGAAGGGAAGGGGTATCAGCCACCCCATCCACCCCCAGTCACACGTGGCAGGTGAACTGTCGCGGGGACGCCGGTCAGCGGCCAGTCAGGCACGACCCCCCTCTCCCAATCTCCCCTCCCTTCTCCAATCGCGCGTTCCCTCCCAACCTGCAAACTAACCGGTCGTACGCTTGCTTTCTCGATCTTAACTTACCCTTCTCTAACAAGCACCGCTTACGCCAGACCCTTCTACATAAACGAAGCAACTCTCGCGAGAACCTCTGTACTCCATTTCCTCCCCCCCCCCAAAAAAAGGGAAATAGAAAGTTAGATGCTAGGAAAAAAATAATTACTTCCGGTTTTATGTTTTTTTTTTAACTTATATCCTTTCTAGGCAGGCAAAACTTTATCGTCCCGTACAGACCTTGTGGAATCTCCGTCGCTTTCATTGGAGAGCCGAAAGCGTCGGGTTTTGTGTGCGGGTTTTTTGTTTTTTGTTTAGATCACCTTTACCGAGTTTGAAAGGAAGGCTTGTGAAAACACAACGCACGGGCAAAACCGTTACATAAAAACCATGAAACGGTTTCTTCACACAGCTTTTCCTCTTGGTGTCAATCGACTTCTATTTTGAACAAGTAGCGTTTTACTAGATTAGAAGACAGCTCCCTTTCCAGCTCTGTTATTCTATTAACGTATTGTATTGCAATACAGTGCAATGTATTGTAACTGGTTCAACACAATTCACGTTAAATAGCAACAAATACAAAGTCTTACCTAATCAAAATAATTGCATTCAGCATAATATAATGACAACTGATTTGCCATGTTCTGAATCAGATTATGCTTAAACCACAACGCCCCCCCTTTTTTTACATCTTCCAGAATTATGAAGATAATTCTGATAGTTTATTCACATAAACTGTGATGTCAGTCCTATTAAGAAGGACGAACAGGAAAGAGAATGTTCTTAATATTCCATTGCTCAGTGATGGGACACTGATTTTATTTACAAGGTATTTTGTTCTGTTGCAGCAGATCCTGTTTCCAAATCAGGACACAAGACCACGAAGGGTAGGAGAATACAGATTTATTTGCGCAAAAGGTTCAGAGCATTACCGTGTTTCTCCAACAATACGGCCTCCACCAATAGGAAGACCCAGCATGTTTTCTAGGCATAAAATCAAATTAAGCCCCTCCCCCCAAATTTAGGCCTAGTTTAAAACATGCAAAATGGGGGGAAGGGTGGGGGGGACTTGCCGTTAGGAGCGCCCCGCGGGCAGCCTCGCCACCAGCCGCTCCTACCGGGTGATCATGGTGAAGCGCAGAGAGCTCCCTACTCCCACCAAACACCTTTGCTGCAGACCCAAGACCTTTGGCACCTGCCGCTGTTGCTTTCCCTTCTGCCCATTTCGTGCCACGTTTGGAGCTGCCACTTCCGTGGTTGGAGCTGCCGCTGCCGTTTGGAGCTGTCGCCGCCGTTTGGAGTGCCGTTGGAGCTGCCGCCGCCGTTTGGAGCT